CTTTCTTTCTAACTTTCTAAGTAACATAGCCCTGCATTGTAACCTTAGCACATATTTATGGAAGGCTGTCATAATACAGTGTAGCTATCTAATGCTGCCATCTGTTGGTCAGCTGCATCTAAGCATGTGTACGCACAGAGTGTAGTACTTGTCATGTATGTTGGGCTTAAAGAGCAGAGAGTTCAGGATGGAGCAGCTGTCGTTGCATGTGTCCATTATGCAAAGCTGTGTATGGAAGCTTTGTTACACGTGTCTGCAAACCGCAGCACAGTCGTCTCTATTGGATGTGACCGAGTGTTTGCTGTGAGAGCCACACAGAGTGGACGTTTCATCTGGAGTCTGCAGGAGCTCGATCTGCTGAAAAAGGGAAATAGTGTCAAATAATTCTTTTAGCACACAGACTCATAATTCTTACAGAGAAGAAATTTAGAGGAGCAGCAGAAATGAAGTCTGTGCTCCTCATGGGCAGAAGTGCATCAGCTGTTGTCCATATAAAATCAACCTTCAGACTCAATAACAGCAGTGAAAACTTTCCTTTAAGTTGTAATGGCTGGACGGGATACGTCTGTAAACTGCAGTCTGCAGCTCTTTACGCAGGTGGTTTATGTGGATTAAGCACCTTTGGCCTCGGCTTCCACAGTCAGACTGTCCTGAACCAGTCCAGTGATTAAAACTTCCACATGCTCCTGAAGCTCCAGTTTGTTAAATGGAAAAAGTGTTAAGTTGCAAATGTAGCTTGATTCTTTAGACTCCGGGCATCAAACAGCACCAAACAACAAATAAAGTAAATAGCAAAACAAGCTGGTTTTGCATGGGCACTACCCACATACTCAACTCTGCTGCTCACAAATGTGTTTTCCTTGCAAAGCAAAGCTTAGTTTGAAGAATGTTCAGTCACAAATTACAATTGATTATTATAAATTGTAGTCATAATTGTGCTGCATGCTCTCTTGTGTTGTGCTAAAATGCATTGTGTACAGTTAAAGCAGGACACCGAGACACTAGTGCAGCGTTCTGATCCTGTATGTTTCTGTTTGACTTTTGTTCTCAGATTGATGATAAGGAGTTTGACATTCCACAAGTGGACACACCTCCCACACTGGAAAGCATTCTCAATGAGGTATTCCATGTAAAAAGTGTTTATAATGAGCTACAAAGCTTTCTATGTGTTGTGGTAAGAAAAGCAAATATATCATTAAAATGATCAAACGATGACACAAACACACACGTTTAAATCATGCTAAACATCAATTTTCATGTTTTCACGAGTCTCTGGGAATCATATTCTCGTTGCCAATGAAATGTTTATTTTTAAATGATTATTTTTAGGCCTTTCTCTGGCTTTATTGGATAGTTACAGTGAAGACTGACAGGAAAGCAGAGGGAGAGAGTGAGGGGGGGGATGTGGCCGCGGGTCGGGCTCAAACCCTGAGCCCGGGCTCAGGGTTTGAGCCCGACCCGCGGCCACATCCCCCCCCTCACTCTCTCCCTCTGCTTTCCTGTCAGTCTTCACTGTAACTATCCAATAAAGCCAGAGAAAGGCCTAAAAATAATCATTTAAAAATAAACATTTCATTGGCAACGAGAATATGATTCCCAGAGACTCGTGAAAACATGAAAATTGATGTTTAGCATGATTTAAACGTGTGTGTTTGTGTCATCGTTTGATCATTTTAATGATATATTTGCTTTTCTTACCACAACACATAGAAAGCTTTGTAGCTCATTATAAACACTTTTTACATGGAATACCTCATTGAGAATGCTTTCCAGTGTGGGAGGTGTGTCCACTTGTGGAATGTCAAACTCCTTATCATCAATCTGAGAACAAAAGTCAAACAGAAACATACAGGATCAGAACGCTGCACTAGTGTCTCGGTGTCCTGCTTTAACTGTACACAATGCATTTTAGCACAACACAAGAGAGCATGCAGCACAATTATGACTACAATTTATAATAATCAATTGTAATTTGTGACTGAACATTCTTCAAACTAAGCTTTGCTTTGCAAGGAAAACACATTTGTGAGCAGCAGAGTTGAGTATGTGGGTAGTGCCCATGCAAAACCAGCTTGTTTTGCTATTTACTTTATTTGTTGTTTGGTGCTGTTTGATGCCCGGAGTCTAAAGAATCAAGCTACATTTGCAACTTAACACTTTTTCCATTTAACAAACTGGAGCTTCAGGAGCATGTGGAAGTTTTAATCACTGGACTGGTTCAGGACAGTCTGACTGTGGAAGCCGAGGCCAAAGGTGCTTAATCCACATAAACCACCTGCGTAAAGAGCTGCAGACTGCAGTTTACAGACGTATCCCGTCCAGCCATTACAACTTAAAGGAAAGTTTTCACTGCTGTTATTGAGTCTGAAGGTTGATTTTATATGGACAACAGCTGATGCACTTCTGCCCATGAGGAGCACAGACTTCATTTCTGCTGCTCCTCTAAATTTCTTCTCTGTAAGAATTATGAGTCTGTGTGCTAAAAGAATTATTTGACACTATTTCCCTTTTTCAGCAGATCGAGCTCCTGCAGACTCCAGATGAAACGTCCACTCTGTGTGGCTCTCACAGCAAACACTCGGTCACATCCAATAGAGACGACTGTGCTGCGGTTTGCAGACACGTGTAACAAAGCTTCCATACACAGCTTTGCATAATGGACACATGCAACGACAGCTGCTCCATCCTGAACTCTCTGCTCTTTAAGCCCAACATACATGACAAGTACTACACTCTGTGCGTACACATGCTTAGATGCAGCTGACCAACAGATGGCAGCATTAGATAGCTACACTGTATTATGACAGCCTTCCATAAATATGTGCTAAGGTTACAATGCAGGGCTATGTTACTTAGAAAGTTAGAAAGAAAGTGTACTTTATTGGTCCCAGTGGGGGAAATCGCTCTCTGCATTTAACCCATTCACTCAGTGAAGCAGTGGGCAGCCATTGGGCGCCCGGGGAGCAGTGTGTAGGGACGGTACCTTGCTCAGGGGTACCTCAGGGTAGCTGTTCAGGGGAATCGAACCCCCGACCTTCCGATCATGGGGCCACCACTCTACCTACTGAGCTATCCCTGCCCCTACTAAGATTACTAAGATTACTTTACATGACAGCAGCACAGTGTCTTGTGAAGCCTGTTAGGAATGTCTCAGTTGAAGGAAGAGACCCTACAGAGTAGAAAAGCACATTTGAATTACTGCTGTGTAATATCATAATTAGGGGCAGATCCTTCTGACAGAGAGCAGAACAAAAAGCAGTCAAAATCCAGAACGAGCTTTGACTGTCCTCATGAAGCCAGAAGACTCCTTGAAAAGCTGCTGACTGTCTAACTCCAACTGAGGTTGTAGGCTTCAGGAGGCAGCTAACACAAAGAAAGAGCTCAAAGCCCAAAGCTGCTTTTCCATTTATGGATCAATTTTCTGATACTTACTAATGGAAGATTTGTTTTCTTTCAGTTGCCGTCTCTTTTGTTTCTCTTAATGCAGGCAAATGCTTGTGCAATTAAATTAAAAGAACCCATCTTTTTGCCCACATTGTCTAGAAAGTCTTGCTCCTCAAGCAAACAGCAGCCAAATGGCCAATCTAGCAGGATCCCCTAAGAACTTGCTATTACTTCATCATGATTTCATCACACAGCTTGATTCACTGAACACAGATTCAGGTGCTGGAAACATTTCCCAGGACATTTCTTCGAGATTGACATGATAGAGCTGGTGCAGTACAATGCAAATGTCCCAAAGCTGCTCTGTTTGGATCTGTTGGCTGTTTAGGCCATCTGAGTGCAGTGAACTCATCATCATATCTGAGCTGATATGAGATGGTGTTATCCTGGAAGCAGCCATCAGAGAATGAGCACAGTGCTGTCATAAAGGGATGCTCTTGTGCATATCGTGGTTGTAACAAGTGGTGACTGACTTCTTCTTGCATTCCTAACAGCATGAAGCAGACTCGCCATTCTTCCCAGTCCTTTGACAACAGCAAGGCTTTTTCTCCCAGGGAAATACCCAGGAAACTATGCACTAAATTCATACCATGTGATTGGCTGATTTAAGAATTCCCATTCAAATGCAGTTAAACAATTGTACTTAATTGTACCCAATGAAGTGGACAATTAGTGTTTCTTAGGAAAATGTGAGATCGTGTATTAGAAGAACTAAAAAGAAATGCATCTGTGCACTGAAGGTGTTTTTGCAATTCAATTCAATTCAATTTCAATTCAATTCAATTCAATTTTATTTATATAGCGCCAAATCACAACATAAGTCGCCTCAAGGCGCTTCATAGATACAGAGAAAAAAA